TGCCAGGCTCAGCTCACATCAAGAGTCAGATTCTGGGGTTCCTTGCTCTGATCATGGTCCAATAAGGCAAGCTCACCTCAAGAGGGGCATGAAAACAGAAGCCCACAGCCCCAGGAGAAGCCTTGTCTTGCAGCTAAGAGGCAGCTGGTGCTTTCGGGTAGAGTATGGGCCTATGGGGGAGAGGAGGGTGGCCTGCAGCGGGGCTGGCCCTGAGCAGGCCCCATGGAGCAGCTGGGGTGGGAGAGTCGGGTGTGATTGGGGGGCGCCCCCAGGCCGGTGTTCTGGAAAGCCTTGGCACTCCCAGGGCTGCTGAGCCAGCGCATTGCTTTGTGTACAAATCACCTCCTTTCCCTTCATTGTTCCCATCCCCCACAGCCCTCCATGTCCCCCACGGCCCTCCATGTCTAAATTCTTCCCAAACCAGCCCAGCCTCAGGCTGTCTGAGGACAGGCTGATTTGGTGGTGGGAAGGCCTGGAGGAGGGAGGTGGGCAGGAGTAGGGGAGGGAAGGAAGCTCACACAGCCCCCAGCCCAGTGTTCCTGCCATTCCCTGTGTGCTTTTGGATGCGGGAGCCCTGTGGCGAGGGGCCGTGCATGGGGGCAGAAGGCATGGGAAAGGCAGGCTTGGGAAGGGGTCCAGGAGGAAAGGGTGCTGGCCCTCCTCAGCGCCCCTCAAAGTAAAGGATTCTGCCAGCTGGAGGGGCTAAGGGTAGGGTGGTGCCTTTGCCATGGAGAGAGATCCTGTGTGTGTTTGTGGGTACACAGCAGTGTGCACATGGGTGTGCGCGTGTGTGTGTCCTAGTAAGGCTACACCTGCACCCATAGCTGTGAGAATGAAGCATTTGACTGCCCCTGATTGCCCAATTTGGGCCCAGCTGGGAGCCAAGTTCTCTTTCCTGGCAGATGCCTGAACTGAACATCTGGACACATTTGCCCTCAAGAAAAGGAATATTAGCCATGCATGGTGGCAGATGCCTATAACCATAGCCTCTGAGAGGCTATGGCAGGACGATTGTAAGTTTGAGCCCAGCCCGAGCAATTTAGCAACTTGGGGAGACCCTGTTTCAAAATAAAAAAAAAAAAGGACTGGGGATGTAGCTCAGTGTACCAAATCTGGGTTCAGTTTCCAATATCACAAGGAAAGAGAGAGAGAGAGAGAGGAAGAAGAAGAAGAGGAGGAGGAAAGGAGGGAGGAGAAAAGAGAGTAAAGAAAAGAAACAAAGAAAGGAAATTTTATCCCAGCACTTGAGAGGCTGAGGCAGGAGGACCTGGAGTTCAATGTCAGCCTAGGCTATACAATGAGACTTTGTCTCAAAAAAAAAAAAAAAAAGAAAAGAAAAGAAAAAACAAAAGGGAAATCCTGGAGCCCATGTCAAACTGCAAGGGCCTAGGCTTGCCCTCTGTGCAGATAGCCCTTCCCAAGGATGAGATGGCCTTAGATGTGCAAGGGGCCCCTGTGTGAGTGGACCCTGTACCTAAGACCTGCCACCTAGGGGGACCAATTCATCCCAGTTTGCCGAGGACTAGAATTCTGGTTTCAGCACTGGAAGTCCTACATCCCGGGAAAGCTTTAGGCCTGAGCAAAGGAGACAGATGGCTGTCGGGCCACAGGGGAGCCTCTTTCCGCCACACCCCTCCCCAGCTACCTCAGTCCCAGCGCCCCTCAACTTTCTCTGAGGGCTCTTACTTTCCCTTCCCTGCTCTTTCTGTCAACGCCTCTTCCTCCTGCCCCCTCAATGTCCCCAGGGATCTCTGCATCGCCTGGCTTTCCTGCTGACAGCAAAGTCTTTCTCCTTGTCCTCGCTCTCTTGCTGTCTGTGTCTGGGGCTCCATCTCTTCCCTTGGTCTTGGGGACTTGTCTCCTCTCCAGCCCACAACGGCGACCCCTTGACTGGGATCTCTCTGTTCTCTGCCTCCTTCTTTATCTCCCCTCTTGGTCTCCAGTGTTTCCAGTCTCTGTCACAGTCTCTGGCTTGTCATTGTCCCTGGGTGGTCCGGCCTCCTCCTCTCTCCTGGCACCGCACCTCTGGGGCTGGTTGGGGTGGGAGTCAGGTCTGGGGGCTGTGACCAGGCCCGGAAGGAGGACTCAAGCAGACATGATATTTATGTTGGGACTTCAAAGTGCAATGCAGGCCACAGTGGGGTGGAGGGGGCTGGTGAGTAGAAGCTAGACTGAGATAAGTTTAGGCTCCTCCCTGGTGAGGGTCTCCTTGGTGACACACATCTCCCTGTGGGACACGTAGACCCAGAGTAGACAAGGAATGGATTATTTTGGTGCAGAATTCCAGGAAAGGCACTTCCTGTGCCCTTACCCTGGCCCCAGCCCCATCCTTTCTTCCGGTCACCCTGGGCTTCCAGCCCCCACATCCTCTGAGCATCAGCCTGGTTGGAGAGACAGGGGACTCTGGGGGTGGCAGGAGCAGAGGGCTCGATCTCAGCAGGAAAATATCCCTGGCGCTGGGACAGCTGTGCATTCTCACTGTCTGGCAGAGGCCTTGCCTGGCAGGGCCATGTGGGTCTGTAACTCTGTCAGCCCCAACTGACCGGGCCAGGCAGGTCCAGCCCCTTGGGGCCTCTGGAGTCCACTTTTGGGCTGCCTGCCAGAGGGATGGAGTGGCCATCGTGAAGTTCACCCCACCCTTGCCCTCCACCCTTGGCCTAACCCCTACTAAAGACACCCAGCTGCTGGGTGGGGCAGGGTGGGTAGGCAAAGCTGATTGTCTCATCCTGTGGCTCAGCTCTGGGGCCTAAGCCCCTCCCAGAAGCCCCGCCCAGCAGGCACCCCTTCAGGCTGGGCCACCCCTCAGGAAGCCCCCAATCCCTAGCTGGGTCTGGAGCCTTGCTCTAGACCTAGGACCCTCAGGACCCAAGCCCACTCAGGTCCCCAGAGCACCAGCCTCTGGCCCAATGCCCCCTCTCAGGCCCTCCCCACCTCTTCCTGTGAATCACGCATGCTGGAATCTGATGAGCTCAGGCCTCCCCGCCCAGTGCTGCCTGCCTCTGCCTCCTGCCTGGCCAGGGGGGTCGCCGCACCCCTCACAGGGGTCTTCCCAGCAACTCACAGGCCCCTCCATGGCCACCAGGGGCTGAGGTGGGGAGTGAGACTGGGTAGGCCAGGGTTTGGAGGGAGATTGGTTAGGAGAGGCTCGGACCTCTGGTGCATGCTGGAAAGTATGAAAAAAGCACGAGTGTGTTTCTGTGTCTGTTGTGTGGCTCTGCACATGTGTGTGCAACTGTGTGGGTGTTTGCACTTCCAGGGTTGGGACAGTGTGGGAAGGGGAGCCGAGTACTATGTTTCAAGTATGTGGGTTACTGTATCTGAGTGGGGATGTGGGTGTCCTTGGAGCTCTGCATGGGTAGCTCTAAGTGTGTCAGGAGGTCCCGTGTAACTGATCACAGGTCTCTGGGTTGACAGTTCGCATGTGTCCTATCAGTGTTGTTGTGTGCCTATTAACCTTGGGGTTGACTGGGCTACTGTACTTGCTGTGGCTGGGAGGGTGTCACACACTCGGGTTGGAATGTGGGTCAGGGTGTCACTGTGTGTTAAATTGTGGATGTGAACATGGGTCCCAGGGCCATGGCAGGGTGTTAGATGTCATGCTGAGGGTGGGTCAGGGTGGGTTTCGATGCTTGCTGTCCATCCATCTACAGCCCTGGCTCCTGGGCTAACCTGGCCACAGAGCCTGGGACAGGTAGCTCCTCTGTCACCCTCTTCCTTTTTTTTTGGTACCAGTGATCAAACTCAGGACCTCAAGCTTGCCAGGCAGGTGCTATGCTGCTGAGCTAAATCCCCGGCCCATTCTCTTTCTTCTTGCAGAATCCCTTCTTTCCTTTTAGCACCAGGCTGGGCATGGGTTGCATGGGTCCTCTGAGTCCCCTGGGTGGCCTCAGCAGAAGGCACCAGGCATAGGGCTGGAGATGAGGTATGTACACCCCCTGGTGGCAGTGATGGAGAACGTGCCATCAGGAACACAGGAACACTTTCCTCAGTTTTCTGGAACCCATCACTCCCTATTATCCCACACACATTTACTAAGTGCCTGTTCCGGCCCTGGCATTGTCCTAGGCCCCTGAGATTTAGCTGGGAAGGAGGCCAGCTTGGCTCTGACATAGCAGCGGGAGAGACAGACAATAAACAAACTCACATGGACAACGAGGGAGGGTGACTTTAGAAGTGCTAAGTGCAATGTTTCTAAGCAAGGAAATGACTTGGCTGCTCTCAACAGACTAACATCAGATCAGGGTCCCAGTCCTGCCCTGTGACAGTGGATATGGAAAAGGCATGCCTCCTCTTAGAGCTGTGGCTTCCTCTTCTAAAAGGACAAAGCGTTTGCAGGAATGCAGAACCCCTAGGTCACAGTGGGGTCTCAGTTACCACCAGATCAGTGTGAGGGTGGTGAGATTCAACTTGCTTCCTTGTGGCTGGGGCTGAGGGTGCTTGGTCCATACCAGACACTCATTATAGTTAAGTGGACAAGTTAGTGAGTCTTTGTATTTGGGGGGAATTACAGAACCTGGTGTTCAAGTCTTTTGGTGTTAATAAGACACATTCCCTGAGGAAGCCTCAGTTTCTTCATCTGTAAAATAAGGACAATGTGTCAATAGACTGGTCTATCACTGCCTGAGCTCCTGCCCTGAACCATGACCCTTGGTCATGCAGCTTTGAGCGGTCAGTCACATGCACCAATGCCTCTGGCAGTGGGCAGGAGGACCTGGCAGTGTTCTCATGAGCCATTGCCGAGGGGCATGTGAAATTCCAGGAGTACATACAGAGACTGAATGTGGGAAGGAAGGGAAAGACTTGCAGAAGTGGGGGCCCAGAAGCCTTGTTCCAGTTCTCAGCTTAGTCTGAGCTTCACATCTGTTTCTTGGGATTCCCTGAGCACCCCCGAAGATATTCCACGTCTTTCCTCTGGGACTGAGCTGGAGACATCCTGTGCTAGATTTCCAGAACTTCCTCCCTTGGGTCCCTCACTCCTAGTTATTACACTCCAGTCCGTGGACAGTTTTTATTGAGCACCTATGGTGTGCTCACACTGAACAAGGCACTGGGGATGGGGGCTGCCAGGGAGGACACACAACAGAATAAAGGGGAGGCTTCCTACTAGCAAGGAGCCCAGGGCAGGGGTAGAGCGGGTGGGGGGGAGCACTTCAGTGGCCTAGTGAGAAATTTGGGAGCCCCATACCTGGGCTATGGGTTGTGTGAAAGCTCATCTCCATTATTTCTACCTCCTGGTTGTTATGTGTGGGTTGATTTCCTTTTGTGCTCAGCACATGAAAGGAGTGTCACTCAGGCTAATGGGGGTCCTCCCTGATCCCAGGACAATTCTTTCCTGAGGAATGGTCTCAGAGAAACTGATCTGGCCCAGACCTCTAACTCTAAGAGACCCGAGGACCAGTAATCTCAGTCCTACGCTGTCCCCAGGCTGCCTGAAGGCTGTAGGTGAGCAAGGACAATGACCCATGACACATGCTCTGGCCCTTGAGCATACCCTCCTGGAAGCTTCCTGGGTCGCGTGCGCCCCCTTGTGGTAAGTGATTGGTATTTTTATTCTTTCAGATTTGCCTCCGGGGTTTCCCTTTGGGGCTCTCCTGGCCTTGAGGGCTGCTTTGCTGGGTGATGTCTTGGGAGTTGCCTTCTTGTGCTTCAATGAGGCCAACAAGTCAAGCCTTTTATCCCCATAAAGCTTTTATGAGGGCCAAAAGTTTAGTGCAGAGAAAATGGTTTCAGAGACTCGTTCTCCATTCCAGATGGTCAGCTCCTGAGGGTGGGCATTATCTCCACTGGCCAATTCCCCTGACTGCCAATCCTGGGAGAAGGCTGGAACATGGGTGGTTTCTCTCCAGAGTGTGGCCTCCAGCGAATAACCTTCCCTAGACTGATAGAGTGAGAAGCCACAAGTAAGAGCCCATTGGGCAGGGAGTGGGCTCATGGAAGAGAGCAGGTGAGAGCTGATAACACCCAGCTTCTTCCCTCCCTTCTGCCTTAGTCTGAGCCCTGCTTTGCAGCAAGATCACCCATCCGCTGGACCACTTCTGGGAGGCAAGCAGGGTGGTACTAGTATCCCCACTTTGGGGATGAGCACGCTGAGGCTGGGAGGAGTTGGTCCTTCTGGGGACTTTGCTGCCACTGTGTTGCCTCTCTAAGTCCTCCAGACACCAGAAGTGACTGGCACCTTTCAGGACCTTGAGGGCCCCAGTATCCCTGCCTGCACTCATGGTGGGAGATGTAAAGGGGGCCCAGACCCCCACCCACCCACTGTGCCAGAGGTTGGCCATCTGTTGGATTTTTCCCATTGGACACACTCACTGCTATAGGCTGGGGACGAACAAGAGACAAAGGGCTTTGGATACAGAAGTCTCTCAAACCCCTCAATTTTATCCCAGTCCCTCAGCTGTGGCCAGTCCCCAGCCCTCAGAAGATGTGCTCCTGGAGGTTAGCATCAGAGGCGGTGGCAGACACAGGAGAGGGCTGGGGTGGGGGTGGCCAAGGAGGCTGTGGTCTTGGTGAGTGGGCTAGTGGCTCTGCCAGCCTTCTCGGCAGGCTCCTGCCCCACATGACCCTCTGGTCCCTTCCACCTACTCCTCTGTGGCCTGGCTTCCCTCAGTCTCTGGCTCCCCTGGCTGCACGTGGCTCTCCCCAGCCTCATGCTCACCCCCCTCAGCAGCCTTATAGTTTCCCCCACTGTTCTTGGGGCTGGCTTTGATCCCCATGCTCCCCTCTCCCTGGCTTTCTTTCTCCTCTTCCCAGCTACCTGACTCTGGGAACCCACTACCCATCTCCTGTCTTGCATCCTCCTGGGTTTCAGGCTGCTCTGCCGGGCCGTAGACGAGGTAGCAGGCTGGGGGGAGCCTGTGGGCCAGGGCTCCTGGGGCCAAGCGGTGGTAGCTCTGCTCCTTGTATAGGAAAAGGCCAAAAGCATCGGGCTGGGTCACTCGGAACTTGGTGGCACAGAGCTGGTTTAGAGTGGCAATTGAGGCCCCTGGGGGCACTGCCAGGGTCTTGGAGGTGCAACCACTGCTGGGGTCCTGGTAAGCTACTCTGAGGAGGTGCTGTACAGAAGAAACAAAAACAAGACTCAGTCCTGCCTGGTGTGCGTCTGGAGCCAGAGAGACTGGTAAGGCCGTGTAGGAGCAGGGTTGATTGCTACATATCCAGAGGTAGAACCAATTAGCAAGGGCTCCCTGGGCTCTGAAGGGGGCTCTGGGGCAGTGTGTTGTATGCTCGGGCTAGTGGGTTGTGGCTACAGGTACAAGGCCAAACCAGGAAGAATTTCACAAGCCTAAAAGAATCTCACATAGAGATTATGGATTACTCATCTTGTACCAACTGGCTTAATCTTCACAGCCATCACAGGTGCCCATTTTACAGATGAGAAGATTGAGGCACAAAGAAATGTATAACTTGCCCAAGTCCCCACAACCAAGAAATGGTAGAGCTAGGATGAACTCAGGACCTGCTTGCAAGACTTGCAAGCAAGGTTGAGGAGAGTGAGGGCAGCATGGTGGCTGTCTCTGAGGACACCTGGGCTGACGCCTAAGGACAGGAGCAAAGGCTGGGGGCCAGGATTTGGGGCCTGAGCCTGCTACCCATGTCCCTTTCCCTCTCCATGGCAGTCCCAGTGCCCTATCTGCAAAATGGGGATAATTAACAGCCCTCCTCCTCAGTTTCTGTGAAGACTTGGAAGGCTGCCCCTGGAGTGTCAGCCCAGTGCAGGGTGTATGAAGCACACTCCATGGGAGGACGCTGCTTCTATTGCGGGTGATGGGGGGTGGTGGTGGCGGGGGTGCTGTGCAAGAGGATGTCAGAGCCTCTCTGGGCCTGACTGATTGGTGGGGGGTGGCGGGACCCTGCTGTTACCTGGAAGCTGTGGGTAGCAGGCAGACACCGCTCCTCCCAGAGCCTCAGGGAACGCTGCATCTCCTGTGCTGGGCTAAGGGGAAGGGTGTGAGCCTGGCCTAGGCTGCTCAGCAGGGCCAGGCTGGCTGACAGGCTGGTCAGGTAGTAGCCACCTGGGAACAGGGGGCCAGAATGGAGCTCAGGCAGGGCTGGAGTGACCCTCTCCCCCTCCCTGCTTATTCAGGGCCCATACAGCAGCTGAGGTCCCCTGGCCCCACACAGGCATGGAGGTAGCACCCCTCACCCTCTCCGGTGAGCAGGGAGGGCTCCAGAAGCTCCGACATGTACTCAGCTTCCAGCAGGAGGTCTGGAAGGTCACACTGAGCCAAGACGAGGCTCAGCAGTGGCAGGAACTCATCAGCACCTGCACTCTCCCCTTAGGGACATGGGAGGAGGAGGCTTCAGGCTCCTCTGGGGTCAGAATCTAATCCTTGACAGAGACAGTGACACCTCCCCTCTGCCAGACAGCTCCTAGGCCCCAGGATCACCATGGCAATCACAGGAATGGCTGTATAGAAGTTACTACTCTCTGGGCCTCAGTGTCACCATTTGAGATAAGAGGGTTGGATCATTCTCCCCAGTTGTGCTATTCCAAGGTACTGGGAGCAGCCCCCTTGGGGGGCGGGTGTTTGTAAACAGAAGGGGTGGGCAGGGGGAGGCAGAGAGGGGCCATACCTGCCTGAGCCCTCAGGGTTGTGTAGAGCAATTTGCAGGCCTGCAGGAGCCGCTTGACCTGGGCGCTGGGAGAGTAGGTGCGGAGTAGCTGCAGTAGCTTCTGGCGCACCTGCTCCATCTCCGCCAGGGAGGGTGGGCTCAGGTGAGACCCGAAGACTCCAGGGCCCCGGGCCCGGGCCAGGTGGAAGCCTTCGGCCAGGCGACCAAGGGAGCCATCAGCAGAAAGTCGGCGCCGAAGGCGAGCTGCCAGGATGGGCCGGAGAGGCTTGAGCACCAAGCGATGCAATGACTTCTCCAGGACATATTCTGCCGGAGGGGCAGGCGGGGTCAGAGAAGAAGGGGCAAAAGCGTCACCACACAGGAGGTACTGGGGAGACCAGAATGGGAAAGAGGCAGAGGTCTGCAGCCACATGAATAGCAGTGATCTGGGGGTGGGGCGGGAGGAAACTGGCTCATAAAGTGGCAGAACAGCATCAGAGAAGCAGGTGGCAGTGGTACCACAGTGAGGCAGAGAGAGGTGGTTGGGGAAAAGCTGGAGATGTGGAGAGCCAGGGACCAAGCTGCAGAGATCCACGTTGGGCCTTACCCAGCCTGTCAGGTGGCAACAGCTTCTCAGGCCCCAGCTCCGCACTCAGCATGGCCTGGGCCCGGCTCAGTACCTGGCGGATGCCTTGCAGCTCTTGGGGCTCGTGGCCAGCCCGCACCTGTGTCAGGAGGTCCTGTACCAGCTGGCCCACACCTGTGTGTCTGTCTTGCACCAGCGCTGTAGCTACACGGACCACTTGCCGCTCAGGAGCCAACAGGGAGCAGAAGGCAGCACTCATGGATCTAAGCAGAGGCCGCCTGTGCCCTCGGCGGCCCAGACTGGGGGAGATGGAGGGGCTGCCCCGGGACCCTCGTGGCCCCTCCTCCTCCTCAGAGCTGCTAGGGGAGCCACATTCTACCTCTTGGAGGGAGGGCAGGGGCGGGAGGCTAGGGCTGGTGCCCGCTGGCACACGGTACCCCATTGAGCTCTCCCTCCGCAGCAGCTGATGAGGGGGAGGCCGCTCTGGGTGGCTGGGGGATGCTCCTGGCAGCACAGGGACTGGGGGAGGTGGCACGGCAGGTGGAGACAGAGGGCTGGAGGTCTCCGTCGACACTCGGACTTTGAAGCTCCTCTTGAATTTCTCACGCTTAGTGGGGCCAAGGTCCCCAGGGAACAGGGGATTGAAGAAGCAGAGGGCAGCGCCAGTGCCCTGGTCCAGCTCGTGAGGGGAGCGGGCCTTCAGCCGGGGTGGTGGTGGGCCTTCGGATAGGCCCCTCTGAGCCTTGGCGTTGAGGGAGGAACTCCAGAACTCTAGGGTCCAGAAAGCATGAGGCCTCAAGGTGGGCTCAGGAGAGCGCCCTTCAAAGAGAGGCATGGTGCCCTCCCTTTCCTTCTTGGCCTCAGCTGCTCTGTCTGCAGTAGGTGGCAGGTGACCCTTACCAATGCCCAGATGGGAGATGGCTTCCAGCTCCTTGTGGGTGGCTGCCTGTTGGATGGCTCTGGGGAGTCGGAGTGGGAGGAGAAGGATGTCCCTGAGCCAGAGAGGAAGCAGACAGGAGTGAGGGGCACTCAGGTTAGGGGGTAGAGGGGTCTGGCTGACCCAGGGAGGGCGGAAGACACAAAGTACCCTGTGGGCAGTCTCACCGGGTGTGACAGTAGGCGCAGATGAGCTGGACTAGGTCTGGAAACATATGCTCAGAGCCCTCCAAAGAGACACCTGAGAGACATCGGGAATAAGGTCATTCTCTGCCTTTCCCCCCACCCCCTTATTTCCAGCCCCTCCCAGTCAGGCTGGCCCCTCTCACCACCAGGAGTCTCCTGGATGTAGTGGCTGGAGACGAAGGAGGGGCCACTGGCCTCTGGCAGCCGCATACACAGGGCCTGGCACTGGCGGGTGTTAGATTTCCGCACCAGGAATGTCTGCAAGTGGCTGAGGTCAGGAGGCTCCAGGCCTCAGTGTCTAGCCTCTGCCTCCCACCTTCAGCCAGCCAGTCCCCAGGAGTTGGGGAAAGACTCACCCCCGGAGGCTCGGTCCTCAGCATGTGCAGGGCTGCTGCGGCATTGGCCCGGAGCTGCAGCCATACGGGCCGGGTGAGCAGCAGGCGCTCCCGAAGGCTCACAGTGCGCGTGGGCCGCTGGGACCCACCTGCCTGACCCCCGCTGGCATCAGGTATGTCATACAGTGGGTCCTGGGGTAGCCTGAGGGCGGGTGCCCAGAACTGAGCAGGAACCAGGGGCAGGGACCCCATGCTCAACCCATGCTCAACCCCTTCCCTGCTTTTGGATCCCCACCTCCCCTGCCCCCAGAGACTCTTCCCTTGTAATTCCTTTCCCTCCCCACCTGGCTGCCCTTCCAACTTCACTAACTTTACTTTCTCCAAGTGTCCAGGGGCAAGGCTTGGGCTGGGTGTTCTGGGATGGTGTGCCTCTGGCTCCCCAGTGTCTTCCATGGCTAGGAGCTCCTTCGTGGTTCTCCTTTCTCTGTTCTACTTAGGCTTCTCCCAGGACTCAGGAAGAGAATTCAGCCCCCAGGCACAGGCGCACATTCCCAGCGGTGAGTAACACTTCCTGAGGGCGGTTCGCCCTGTCACACCCCGTCAGTTAACTCTTCTGTGTCCACTCTGCCTGGCCAGTGCCCAATTCCTCTCTGTTCTGGGCCCAGCCTGGAGGGTCCAGGATCACCTCCACACTAGCACCAGGCTGGGAGCCCCAGCTGCAGGGTGTCACTTCCACACAGTTCCTCCTGCAGCCTAGGCAGCCTCCTCCCACCATGGAGCTGGGGTGGGGAGGGGTTAAGCAGGCCGATTCCATCCCTGAAGGCCCAGCCACACCCTTGGGTCACCTTAAGTCTGGTCTCCCTGCCTTGAGGGTCAGCCTTGCAGAAGAGCACCCCCTACTGGTCACAGATGACTCATTCTTGAACCTAACTTGGGATTCAGGATTTCAGGTTGCCATGGAGAAAGGATGCTGTGTCTCCATAGAAACCAACCCCTTTGCTTAACTGAGGTTCTGGGGGTGGTTCTGACACAGAGCTAACCAGGGGGAGTGTGGTGGTGAGGTCGTCAGCACATGGTGCTGCGGCTGGCTGCTGCCCACGCACAAGCCTTGCCAGCCTGTGCTGTTCTGCCAAGCAACTGGGGCAGGTGCAGACTTGACCCAGTCTCTAAGCACATGCACCAGCCCCTTCCCCACCCAAGGCCACGTGCTCTGTGTGTGTGCTCTGCCTGCACCACATGTGGCTTCCAAATCCAGGCCTAGCTCCTGCTTCCCCATACTGTTCCCCAAGTCTGAGTAGCCCAAACTGCAAGGACTCCAGAAGAGTCTGCCTGGCTCAGGCACTAACCACAGAAGTTGATTCCCTTTCTGGGTAAATCAGACACATTTTGGTCATGCCAGAGTTCCAGAAAAGGTTTTAATTCTAGTTCCTGAAATCTGGGAAACAGACACCAGGAATGGCCCTGAGAAAAGCTGGGGAGCCTGACTGTCACCTCCAGCTCCAGCCAGGGCAGACAGGCCCTCAACATACATTTCTGATTTAGAGTTCCTGTGCTGTAGGGCCCAGCTCCTGGTTTAGTGGCTGGGGTCCCCATGTCTGAGGTCACCAGGAGGAATGCTGCTTTGGCTTAGAACAAATTCCATCTCCTTTGTCACTGACACTGTGGGGTGGGGTGGTTAAGGGATAGACAGTAGTCTTGAGAGGCCAGGTCAGCTCCAGGGCCACAGCTGTACAGGCTAAGGAGGAGTCCAGACCAGTGATGGCTGGAGGGGGCGCCTGCAGCAGCACTGGAGAGTCCGGAGGGCTGCCCCTGGGGGATGCCAGGGAGCCTTTTTGCAGGAAAATTCGAGTCCTGGGTGTGGTGCCAGCTGTTCCAAGGGATCCCTGGCTGTGAACAGCTGGGTCACAATCCTGGGGGGTATGCAGGAAAAGTCATTGAGGGGAAGTTAAACCAAGAAGGAAGCAGCCACTTCCTGAAGGGGACCCAGGAAGTGCTTTGCTCTGACAGCCCTTATTCCTGGGGCTCAGCATTCCAGCTGGCCCAGACCCACCCTGGCTGGGGACTCCATTTCACCTCTACATCATTTGGCTCCATCAACCCAGAGCTTCCCCCTCCCAGCTCCTGCTTCCTAAGCTCCCACAAACCCCTCAGACCTAACTCAGGCCACCAATTGTGCCATGGCCTTCTCTGGAGGCCAGACTGGGGATGGTAATGGCAAGGAGAAAGGGAGCTGGATGTCTCTGTGGTTCTTACCATCTGCTTTTCTCTTCTGAGGGGACATTGCTGCCCTGGCCTGGATGGGGAGAAGAAAAGCCTCCCTGTGAGAGCCCACCTCTGGCTTGGCAATTTCCACTCCCTGCTGCCTCTGAGGAGTGGGAGATGCAGGAGTTGGCACTGAACGGAGCCACGGGAGCAGGAGATCCCTTCTAGGCAAAGCTCCAGGGTGCTTCTTGTCAGAGACCCAGCCAGCACTGTTATGCTTTCCTCTTCTTCCATCAAACCTGCCCTTGAACAAGGGCCTAATGTGACACTCGCTCCTTGCTCCGGCAGAAAGACCAAGCGCTGCTGCAATGCCAGGGCACCTGGGCTGAGGCAGGGAACTCCTCAGGCCCTTGGACACCGGAAGTTGGTGTCCAGGCAGGGGGCAAGGGCAACAGTGGACCCACCTTTTTGATAGCCGTCCAGTCTTCCAGGATGTCAATCTCCTGCAGCATGTACACAATGTAAGGGCCTGCGACAGGGGTCAAGGAAGCAGGACAGCCACTGGAGAGGGCAGGTAGCAGGTGCTCAGCCTGGAGGCCAATGTGGCACTCTGGAGAAGTGGCTCACAGAGAGGGTGCTGAGAGCCTGAGTCCAAGCACAAGTTCCACCTTCTACCTCTGGGCCTCCTGTACTTGGGAGGGATCACAGCCTATTTTAAGGAGCCCACAGAGGGCACTAATTTCCTTCCTACTTTCTCCAGGACCCTCAGGGCCCTGTTCTGTCTGGCTCTGTCATGAAATGGCCCCTTGTTGAGTCGCCTCTTCTACTCTGAAAACCACCTCTCTGACACCCACCTGACGTCTCCATACCCTCACCCTACTGCTCCTTCAGTCACTGCCTCCCAGGTCTCTCCCTCCTGGCTTCCATCAGCTCATCTCTCTGTGCTACACTCACAGGAGGACTGAAGACACAGGAGACCACAGACTGAGAGGCTCCTCCTGAGATGGGACAGAAGCAGCACGGGCCTTCTGGATTGTGGGCACCCCAGGGTAGGGCACAGGGTACAGAGAAGCCACAGGCACTGGGGGAGGCAGAAAAGGCAGGTAGGGACAGGCAGGAGCCCTAAGAGGAGTGATAAGGCCCAGGGTAGGGAAGTCTGGGACTTCTTGGAGCTGAGATCAGGAATTCAGAGGAAAAGCTCTGAAGAAGAATGATATCCACTTGGGAAGTTATGGGGAGTCATAAGGCTGAATTTTCTATTCTCCTAGGATCCATATAGTCTGGGAGGACCAAGGATCCCACAAAATGTTCCTGACAGCAGGACTGGCTTGGACATAGTCATGTGACACCAAACAGCCATAAGTGTGTGTTGCCCCACTCCGTCCTTCATGTCCCTTCCTCTGAGTCTGCAGCCTGCCCTGACATCCTGCCCAGTCCCATGCCACCTTGGGTGGAAGGATACCAGAAACGAGAGGTGCCTTCTTCCTCTTGCTCGGTGGCAGTGAGTCCCAGGTCCTGGAGCTGCCTCTGGCATGCAGTTTGTCATCCCACCACTCTGTGCCCCCAGACCCACAGTCAGGATCAGGGCACTAGCACACAGGCTGTTGCATCCTGTGTAGCCTCTGCCCACCACATGGCCCACTTGGGCCCCCTCCTCCCTCATCACCACTCAGGGCAGTCGACTGGCTCAACCTTGGGCTTGGGGCTGGACACCCCTTAGGACTGCCTAACAGCAGTCCCAGTCCAAGGAGGAAGCTACCACCCTCCTGTGAGCCTTGGTTTCTCCTTTGTTTAGGAGATAGTGAGACCAAATCAACTCCTGCCTCCCCAAGATGCCATATGAACACAGGTGCTGTGGGCACTGAGGGGACTGTGACTATTATATGTGTGGGTGTGTCAGATGGAGGGCAGGAGGGAGGTGACCCTGCTATGTGCCAGATCCTAGACAAGGCCCTTTCCAGGCCTCACACAGACCCCAGGAAGCAGAGGCCCAGACAGGGGTGGGTGCTGACGGATCTGGGCCCTTGCCCTCACCGGAGCTGATGTCCAGGCTCTGGCGATCCTCCTCCAGCCTCTGGATCCGCTCCTGCAGCTCCCCCTGTAGTGTGTCATAGAGCAGCAGCTTCTCACTCTGGAAGAGGCGAAGCTGCTTAGCCAGGCACGGGCTGGGCCCTCAGCCTCACCCACCCTGCACAGGCTTCCAGGTGCTCAGCTCACCTCTAGGTGCTGCTTGGCTCCTTGCAACTCACACTCATACTTATTCCTAATCACGTCCAGACAGAAGCCCTTGTAGATTCCTGCACAGACACGGAGAGGTGCCCTGCTTGCCTGGGGGCCTGGTGCCCAAAAGGGAGGGTGAGACATGCAACAGGACAAAGCAAGGCTGGGCAGGGATAAAAGCAGAAGGGGCTAGAGCTGTGCGTTCTGGAAGCGTAGGAGGGCACAGGACAGCCACAGACCTGCCACCTGAATGCGAATCTTAAGGCTCCGCTGCAGTCCCCCAAGAGGCTCCGTGTACTCTGGGGCTCTCTCAGCCCCCACTTCCTCCAGCCGCAAGCGCAGCTGACTCAGCCGCTCCCTGAACAACCTGGGAGGTAAATGGCAGCCAGGCAACCCTCAGGCCCCCATGGCTCTTGGGCAAACATTGCCATGAGGGCCCTGAGTTTGGTGCTCATCTCCCTGGGCATCAGTAGCAGGCCTGCTGCCTCCTCACCCCAGCTGCCCGAAGACCCAGCCCGAGGTGGCCCAATGCTCACTTCTCCTTCAGCTCTGAGAATTGCTTCTCCAAGTCTAGCATTTCATTGACACACTCGCTGCGGCGCCGCTCGTAGTCCTCGTCGTCCATCTCTGGGAAGAGAGACTGGTTTAGGGCTGGCTCTGCAGTGGTGGGCGGCTATTCCTCTGTGTGTCTCCGGCTCACCTGAGCTCTCCTCTTCTGACTCAGTCTGGCTGCCGCTCCGTTCCTCCTCACTCTCTTCCTCTTCCCCGTTCATCTCAGCAGCCGAGTCGCCCTCTGCTTCTATTTCTTCTGTGTCTTTGCTCGGAGGTTGGACAGGCATTTGGGCTCTGGGGGAGGGGGTGCAGCTGTCACTCACCTCCGCCCAGGCTCAGAGCAGGACAGCAGCCAGTCAGGGAGTCAAATGGAACCTGCCCTTCAACAGGGAATGTGTGGGGAGGTAACTGGCCTCGCACCAGTAGCACTTGCACCTCTCACAGAAGCCCAGGTACCAAGGAAATGCTCATCCCCTTGGATATTGCTGGTGATCCTAATTCTGGGAATACTGGCTGAAGGTATGATCCACTGACTGTGAGGGCCGAGGGTGTGGCAATGGAACTGGGTCTAAACTTCTGACTGGGGCTTTCAAGGCCCTTCACAGACTGGACTCTTTTGACTTATCTAACAGACAGCTTTCTTACTTCCATCACCCTTCCTATGCCCATGTGGTTTTTTGAACTACAATGCCCCGTCTCTTCTGGACAACACTCTATAATCCTCTTGCCTGGGCTCTGGGACCCCAGGGCCTCGGTGCTCCCTCTACTCTGTCTTCTGATTCTCCCTCTTGGCAGGCACTATGGTCTTTTTTTTTTTTTTTTAGTACCGGGGATCGAACTTGGGTCCTTGCACTTGTGCAGCAGGCAGCGAAACCACTGAGCTAAATCCCCGGCCTGCAGGCACTATGGTTTGAATGTGTCCCCAAGTTCATGTGTTGAAAATTTAATCTCCAGTACAAGTGTTCAGAGATGTGGCCTTTGAAAGGTGCCTAGGTCTGCCCTCATGAATGGACTAATGCCAATGTTACAAGAGTGGGTTAGTATGGCAGTGGGTTTCTGATAGAAGATGAGTCTGGCCTTGTCCCTTCTCCCTCTTACCCTGTCACCTGCTGCCATGGGATAAGCCGCAAGAAGGCCCTTGAAGACATTTGGGCTAATAAGCTCTGGACTCCCTACCCTCCAGAACACAAAGAAATTTCTGTTCTTTATATATAGTATGACCTAGTCTGTTTTTTTGTATGCATGTGTGCATGTGTGTGTGTTGCTGAGAACTGAACCCAGGACCTCACACGTGCTAAGCATAAGTTCTACCATTGAGCTACTCTCCCAGCCGTCAGCTATTGTTTTTGGTTTTGGTTTCTTGAGACAGGGTCTTGCTATGCAGTTCAACCTGGCCCTGAACTCACTATGTAGCCCAGGCTGGCTTTGAAGCAGTGATCCTTATGCTTCAGAATCCTGAGTGCAGTGCTGGGATTACAGGTGTGTGCCACCACAACCAGCTCTCAGATAGTATAGCAACATGAAATGGACTAAGACAGCAGGCTCCACCCTAGGAGACTAGATGTACTCAGGTATGCTCTATCTAAAAAGACCTGGGTTCAATCCATCCCCAGCACTACCAAAAAGGCAGAAACACTAAACTTCACCCATTCCACTTGACCATTCCGTTTTCCATTTCACAGCTGCACTTTCCCAGGCCTTTTGTACACTTGCTGTTCCTTCTTTTACCTCTCACTCTTTGGATCTATTTCTGTACCCTTGATTTTACTGAAACTCATCCTGCAATCAAAGACTTTCTTGTGGCTAATGTCACACTACCTAGGGGCTCCACACTGAGCTACATTTCCAGGCTTTATAGAAACTTTTTTATTTGGAAACAGGGTCTCACTAAATTGCTACATTGTCCATGCTGGGCTTGAATTTACAATCCTCCTGCCGATGTGTCCCAGAGTGCTGGGATTACAAATATGCACCATTATGCCTGGCTTCAGTATCTATCTTAATCGGCCTTTCAGCAACACTGAACACTCCTAAGCATTCTTTCTTTTTATTCATTCATCTAACAGTTATTGAGCACCTAATATATGCTAGGTACTATCAGCTACAGTTGTGCTACAACTGTAACAGACTTTGACCTCAGAGAGCTCACAAATTCCTGGGTGGGGAGGCAAAGAAACAGTATGGTATGAGGAGAATTAAGTCAGGGCTATATAGGAGGGGCCTCTAACCAGGACCTGGCTGCAGCAGTGAGTGCTTCCAGAGGAAGCTGGACCGGATGAGGGCACTGAGTTCACTGAGGGAACATTCCTGGCAGAATAAGCAGCAGAGCAAAGACCCAGAAATGAGAGAAGAGGATGGGCTAGGGGCACTCAACAAGACCTGGGGTGCAGATCAGTCATTAGCATACAGCAAATTCTCCAAGCCATGAGATGGTGTGGCAAGCAAGGGAGAATGTGTAGAGTGAGAAGGGATCCATGATGGAACTCCAAGAATCACCAAAGGGGCAGATTAGGAAACCCCAACAAAGGAGGAAAAACCCAGTCACAGAGAAAGAGAATTTCAGAAGGAAGTAGTAACAGTGCCAAAGGCTCCCAAGGGATCACTTGAGAGGCAAGCTAAACAGTTTTCTTTGCAGATCATTTCTCTGCCATCTGGGGACTATTTCATTGGCCGCCCGCACCCCCCCCCCCATTGAGAGGTTGAGACAGGGTCTCACTATAGATCAGGCTGGATTTGAACTATGTAGCCCAGGCTGGGCTCGAATTCAGTGATCCTCCTGCCTCAGCCTCCTGAGTGCCGGCATCAATGCTGTTCTTCCAACTTCTCTGGCTATTGCTCTACAGGCCTTTAGGATGGTATGGATACCACTCTCTCCATGAATCCCTCTTTATACCTCCTATTGTTCATTTTCATGTCTGTCCTACCAATGTGAGTTGCAGCCTTACTAGGGTAGGGGCTGCACATTTGCCTTGTTCAACTAATGCAGTAGTGCCTCACTTGACGACTGGAAGATTTGTAGATACAAATTACACAAAACAGGGCTGGGGATTTAGCTCAGTGGTTCCAGCGCCTGCCTTGCAAGCACAAGGTCCCGAGTTTGATCCCCGGTACCAAAAACAAAAACAAACAAATTACACAAAACAAACTTGCAGTACAGGGATTGGCTTTTACCTCTTGGTAGACTCAGGTGCCTGTAGTGGTGATTAACATTCCTTGATACTTATTCAAGCTGTGCTCTGCCTGGCCTATGGAGTTTAGTCACATTTTTGAACGACTTCACTAATGATCTGAACCTGACCTGAAAACCAGCTTCATCGTTCCCATTCTCACGTCTCAGTTCCCACCACTGACAGTATTTCCTCACTGTTAAATGTATGCACCTTGTAAGACACAGTGTTAAAGTCCTATCTCTTCCAGAAAGCGTGTTTCTTATGCAGCTGACTCTGATTCCGACTCTTAACTAGTCACAACCTCTGCTCCTTAAGCTGGGTGCAAAAACGGGATAACCATTCCCGATCCAGGGTTGAAAAGATTGCAAAATGTAAGGATGGAAAATCACACTGTAAGTGCTGTGCACATGCAATTTATCTTTTTAGACAGTAAACTCCTCGAGGCCAGGCTCCAACGGAAGGCAGACCCCTCCCCACAATCACAGAAGCCAACTTAGATTCTCTGAGGCTCTCCGGGAGCCTCCCACCTCATTCCACCCTCAGATGCGCGGGCTAGAGAACAGAAAGCTGTTCCCCGTCCGCTGCGGCCGGGCTGTCCCTCGTCCCCGGGGGCGTCACGCAGGTTAAGTCTCAGCTCCTGCTGGGTAGGAAACTGTGTTGGCTCCAACCGGCTGACCGGAGAGAGAGAACCAGGCAGCAGGCGTGGCGATACGTACCGCGGGATCTGGGGCCTCCGGCCTCAAGTCCAACTCCGAGAGGTACCTGAGTCCGCCGGTACTGGTTGCCGCCACCGGGGTCCCGGAAGCTCCGGGCAGGTCCCTCTTCTCCGGGAGGCGGGGCCTACCGGCGCTTCCGTGTGCATCATCAAGAGGCACCGATCGGGGAAGCTCACGATTGGCCAACTGGGGTAGAGGCATGCTGGGATACCGCGGGTCGGTCTCCATAGCAACCGTCCGACTTTCACACAGGACACAGGCCTTTGGTCGGCGTGGAAGGCCTGGGTGATTTCTCTGCTTTGCTGCAGGCTCCCCTTGGTCTGTGGCCAACTCCCCACAGCGTGGGAGGGGAAATCCCGGGGCCCCAGCTCAGGAGAGTAATGGAACCAGCTGTGGATGTGAACACTCGTTTATTTACACATTGTAATTCGAAGGCAAATAACCAGCCCAGCCCAACGGAGGGTACAGATCTCAGATTGTCCCTTATAGAGCCTGCAGACCTTTCCCTCCTCCAGAGCGCCTGTGGGCAGAGGCCTGGAAGAACCACTAAGTTTATGTTTCAGTCCAAGAGTTAAGAATTAAACTCTGTGCTTTCATCTTGATTCCTTTCCAAAAGGCCCATTTCATTAAGTACTCAGACTTCTCAGCTCTGTCTCATTCATACGTTTTGCTCTTACTACCCATTCACCCAAGATTGTTAATAACAACAATAATAACAATAATACTGTAATAATATTAATACTTCACATTTGTACGAAGCTTACAGAATGTTTTTACATACAGCATCTCATCTGAGCCTCCCAAAAGTTCTGTGAGGTAGGCATTCTCACCTCCCTTTTTACAGACAGGGTAACTGAGGCTCAGAGAGGTAATGGGATTTGCTCAAGGCCACACAGCTAGTTAGTGGTAAAGCTAGGATTTGCTCCCAGCACCCCATATTCAAGTCCAGTGTTCCAACTCCACATCTACCTCTGTAAAGTGGAGTGACATTTCTTACCCCAGTCAGGCCTGAGGTGTGGCCTGAGGAGCCAGAGGCTGAGACTTCTCAGACTAGGGAAGGGAAGGAATTAGCAGCGTCGGGGAGAGTTGGGATACTTGGCCTTCAACTCCTGTTTGAACTGGCGGTAAAGGATCTTATTGTGTTGATTTTCAGCCTCCTTTTGGGGATGGAACTTCAAGGCATCTTTGAAGCCCTTATGAATCAGGAAACCTTCATTCAGCACCTCAAAGTCAAACCCAGCCACGTGCAGTTCACAGGCCTGTAGAGGGAGAGATAGGTCAGCAGAGTTTGATGACATTTCCAGGACCCAAACAAGTATCTCTAAGCTGTCACACCTCTCTGGAGGCATCTTGGAACTTCCACCCAACCACTTCCCAAACTATGATCCCTTCTGCTTCATTGCCTCTTTTCATCATCCCATCCCTGATCCCACCTCCCTTCCTGCCCACTTCCCCTGCCCTTTCCCTTTTAGGCACCTGGCTGATGCGATTGAAGCCATATTGCCGAAAGCGCTCATCAAAGGCAGGCACCTTGCCTCCAGCCACATAGAAAGGCTCCCAGGGGTCCTGCCAAGGCACAATGTAGGAAGGCCTCAGCAAGCTTTCTTCTGGCAGGTTGACCCAGCGGGAGTAGTTGGTAGGTGCATGGCAGGGTGTGCAGAGCCCGTAATAGAAGGGCCGCACTTCCCCCACTTGGTAGAGCTGCAGCAGCTCTGCCTTATTCATGGGCATTCGGCGGGCTCGGCGGATCTCGAAAGCTGGCACCACTAGGGCTGTTCCCCCCCACTGGTTGCTCTGATCCAACATTTCCCGCAGGCCTCTCCACAGCCCCTCGCTGGGCACCATGTCCATGTCGATCACCAGGGCATAGTTGGCTCCCTCTCGAGCCAGATTCCTCAAAAGGTTGTTGGGGTAAGAGACGTTGGTGCCCAGGGCATAATTGATCCCGGGGCGGGTCACCCTGGCTAGCTTGTCAAAGACCTCTTGGCAGGAGCGCAGCAGGGCAAACTCTCCTGGCTCCCTTGGGTCGGGCACAGCGGCCTCATAACGCGAGGGGCACACAAGGTGCATCGCGACCCGAGCGCGCATGTCGGGGCAGTGGCTGCTCAGCGCGTAGGCCAGCACCGTGGCCAGCTGCGCCTGTTCCTTGGTGGCTGCAAACACTGATACGGACAGCGGGCCCTCCCAGCGCTCCAGCAGGCCCGATAGGTGCAGCAGGTTGTCCACGCTGGCATGCGTGGCCAGGATCACATCGTTGGGGTCCATAGTGGTCTTCAGGAGGCCCCGATAGACACGGTAATCGCCACTGGAGTCCAGGACGCCTCCGGAGGCCAGCGCGGTGCGGAGCTGCGCCTTGACTTGGTCCACGGATCGCGGGGACGGGGGGAAGAACTCGAAATATTGCTCCTGCTCCTCCTGCCCATGCAGTCCGGACAGCAGCGACAAGTAGAGCAGCTGAAGCATTGCCACGAGCATAAGCGCGGCCAGCAGCAGCTGGTAGAAGGCGCATCGGATGGCGTAGGACATCTGCATGGTTCCTAGGGCTCGGGGCGCACAGCAGGGACCACCGGGCCTCGGAGTCTAACAGCGGCCGTAAGCCCGGATTTACCGCAGCCTGCCGAGCGCACCCGAGGCTCCCCGAAGCGAACCGAGCCCCGCGCGCAGCCCCGCCCGCTGTCCGCCGGCGTGGGTCTCTGCGCGCTCAAGCTCGCCCTCTGCGACAGAGGAGGAGCTACTGCACCCGCCGCGAGCTTTGCAAACGCCGAGCCTGCCTGGGTCCCGCGGCCCCACGGCCCCGCCGCCACTGCCACTGCCACTGCCACTGTGCCCGGGTGCTCTGGGACCTGCACCCCTTCCTCGCGGTTAGTGTGGAATCCTCTGAACCAAGAGCGTCCTGCAACCCCGGCGCGCACGCCAGGACTCGAAGGGGAAATTGTGGCAAAGCTTAGTCGTCTGTAGCTTAGCGAAGGATGGCGCGGTTTCTGGCAGAAGCGCGCCGAAAGGAAACAAAATAGCTCCTTTCTTTCCATCGTGTCTTCCTTTCTTGAGTCCTACCAGGCCGATGGTGAGAGATGAGTGATGGGATCCTGGAGGTTCAGAGATGATGAGAGATAAGGAAATGTGGAAGGGAGTACTAGGTGTGGGACGAGGTGGCCGAGTGGTTAAGGCGATGGACTGCTAATCCATTGTGCTTTGCACGCGTGGGTTCGAATCCCATCCTCGTCGGTCCTATTTTACAGAGGGGAAAGTTTCTTAATTTTCCACATCCCACCCATCCAGATGCAGCGAGCTGAAGAAAACTGAATTGGCCATAAAGGTGGGATTCTGCGTCTAAATCCTTGCCCTCTTCCCTGTTTGTGCACCATGCATCTCCCTCGTGTTCACACTCTAGGTATCGGAACTTCCCGGGGAGAAGCCAAATGAGTGTGGTTTTCTTCTTACAAAGGGGACCCAGGAGTTGGTAGCACTGAAAACTGGCACTGGGATTCTGACTAGTGGCAAGTCGGGGGTCAATATGTCATCTGCAGGAAATAGAGAAACCCCCACTGGACGCTTAGTCCTATGTAGCAGTGTTTGATCATTTAAATTATTATTGTATTCAGACTACTGATCCCTCCCTCTCCCCAGCACCTCTCACAGGGTGGAGAACTCCTAACCACACTCTTTCTCCCCAACACACACACACACACACACACACACACACACACAGACACAGAAGCACACACACAGAAGCACACACTTAAGCAAAACGTTCCAACCCCAGCCACCATACACTGACCCATGGACTCTAGAAGTTAGAGGCCGTGGGAAAGGGCAGGTACTAGACTGCTTAATCAGCCATATGTAGATGATATCACATGCCATCTTTTTGGCCAAATCAGGGTGCCCTATAGGGCACAGCACTATGTGTGTGTATCTTGCTTGAAATGGGGTATTGGGACATACTGGGAAGGGTGTCCAATGCCAGGGTAAGATGTCTATCCCCTGTTCCACAGGGAGCAGGGTGCCAAGGTTGTTGAGTGGAAGAGTGATCAAAAGATTTATATTTTGCAACTCAGTGCACTAACACCTCCCTCCCTCCCAGAGGCTGTGTTAGGCACATGGCCGCTGGACACACAGGTACTGTCCTCGAAGGTTTTCATAGGGGACAGATGCCAGGAGAGAGGAGGAAGGAAAGTGCAGTTTCCTTCAGCACAGGCCTTATAACCAGGTGGCTCAGAAGGTTTGGTGCCATGTAGGGTTTTATTTTTGCCTTGCTCAGTGTATGAAAATAATAATTTGAAGATGGGCCTGTAAGCCCAGCACTCTGGGAGGCTGAGCAGGATGACTGCAAGTTCAAGCCCAGCTTGGGGAATTTAGCAACTTATGGAGACACTGTCTAAACAAAGGCGGTGAGGTGGGGCTGGGGATGTAGCTCAGTGCAAAAGCCCTGGGTTCAGTCCCCAATGGAGCAACAACAAAACATTGAATCACATTAGTAATTTGGGTGAACCAGGAGATTTTATGTAAATTCCATGTCTCCAATTTCCATTTTCAATTCTGAGATGTGGCAATGCCAGGCCTACATTCCCACACGATGACAACTGGTCAGAGTACCAGAGTGCCTTCTCTCTGCCAAAGAAAGTCTTGTCTTTGCCAAAGTCTCAAATTGCTGTTCCCTGGCTCTCCAACCCTTTGAACATTTGAGTTTCACACAATACCCAGTCATACTTCAATTGGTAAGATTTACCTGGTCGTTTGTCCCTGCATTCCATGCTAGGCACATAGCAGGCATTAGTACATGTTTGTTGAATGAATATGTAAGATTCTTGTGAACCCTAAGGCACCTAGTGTAAGGGGAGACTGTAAAGTAGTGACTAAGACTTAAAGTGACAAGATCAAGGAAAGTCACATGGAACGTCCAGAAGGCAGCCAAAAGTTTGCCTCTCCTGGCTGGGAGAGAGCTTGGCTGTGGCAGGAGAGAACATAGGGAATAGAATGTGTCTGTTGGTGGCTTCCCCTCTGGTTCTCCCCGGGGAGACTTGGGTTATGATTCTCTAGAGAAACAGAACCAACTGTGTGCAAGTGACATTGTATGATTGATTGAATGAATTGGCTCACATGGTCACTGGGGCGGGTAAGTCTGAATTGTACAGAGCAGCTAGCAGGCTGGATACCAGGGGAAGCTGATATTGCAGCTCAGGTCTGAGGGCTCAAGTCTGAGGATCATTTGGAGGCAGAATTAGCTCTTCTTTAAGGCCTTCCACGATTGGATGAGGCCCATTCACATTATATAAAAGTATTATGTTGTGATGTAATAAGAAATATGTATTTGGTCTCTGTCCCTGCTTCCTGACACAGAACTCCTAAGTCCTTTGGAATTTCCTGGGCAATAGATACAGATGCATCTATCGCTTGTTCTAATGAGCAACCCTTGGTGGGCTCCTGAGTAGCGCAGAGGGGGACTGGTTGCCAGAGGAACCAACCCTGTGATTAGAGGTTTGGAGCTTTCAGTTCTCTCCCCCTCTCCAAAGGAGTGGGCTGAAGGGAAGTGGATCACCCAGAGGCAATAATGCAATCGCTCATGCTTACATACTGAAACTTCCATAAAAATCTAGACGGGCAAGGATCAGAAAGCTCCGAGGTAGCTGAACATGTGGAGGTGCCAAGGGGTGGTTTGCTATTGGGAGCAATGGTACGTAATTTTAGGGAAAAATCATTTGGTTAGCCTAGTTCTCCTGCCTACAGCCCAGCTATGGCATTCTGAGACATAATTCCATTTTGGCCTCTGGTCACAACTGAGACCTCAGTGATCCGGTGATGTTGTGATGCTTCGGGACAAGATTACACCAGCTGAAGACATCCTGGGAGGAACAAAATCTTCATCTACTCAGTTCCTCATTGTTCTTGGATTGTTACATCTTGTTTACCTGATGTACTGAACTCTCCGAAAGTTGTTTGTTACATCTTGTTTAGGACGATGTACTGAATAAAAGGTGTGGTAAGCTGGGGGCTTTCGTCTTTGTTGCCCAATGCAGCACTGATCAGACCCAAAGCTCAGCTTCTTCTCAAAGTCTCATTTTTCTACCTTTCCTATAATTCGCCTTGTGCTGCCATGGCTTGCAGGAGACTAGGACTTACTGCAGAGGTCCTAGTAATGTCCCCTTTCCCTGTTCCCCACAGTTTGCTCCAAGAGGACAGGAAAACTCTGTACCCCTTCCCCATACCTTGCCCAAGGCATCTCTTCCACTTGGCTGTATCCTCGTTCATGTCCTTTATAATGAATGGATACATGTGTTTCCCCAAGTTCTGGAAGCTGCTCTAACATTAATTGAACCTCACTAGGGAGTTCGTGGGAACCCTGATTTATAGCTGGTCAACCAGAGCACAAGTGATAGTCTACTACTTGGGGTTGGTACCTGAAATCGGAGCCAATTTATGAGACTGAGCCTCCACCCATGGTCTTTGCCATCTCCAGGGAGATGGTGTCAGAACTGAATTGAAGAGTTCTTTTTAAATTCTGGAAACTAGACCCTTATCAGGGATATGATTTTAGAATATTTTCTTCCATTTTATATGCTGTTTTTTTCACTTTCTTTCTTTTTGGGGGGGGCGTTGAGACAGTAGTAGTCATCCTGGCCTTGAATTCACTATGGAGCCCAGGCTGGCCTCAAATTTATGGCAATCCTCCTGCCTCAACCTCCCAAATGCTGAGATTACAGGTGTGCACCACCATGCCCAGCTCACTTTCTTGATAATGTCATTTGAAGCACATTTCAGATTTTGATGAATTTCTAATCTTTTTTAAAAATTGTCACTCATGGGGCCGGGGATTTAGCTCAGTGGTTTTGCCACCTGCTGCGCAAGCGCAAGGACCCGAGTTCGATCCCCAGTACCAAAAAAAAAAAATTTGTCACTCATGGTTTTGGTGTCACATCTGGACTTTATTTTATTTTTATTTTTTGGTACCAGGGATTGAATCATCTGGAGTTTATCACATGCTTTTTTTTTTGGTACCTGGGATGAAACTCACTCAGGACCTTGAGCTTTTGAGGCAGGTAGTGGCACCTCTGAGCTAAATTTGCAGCCCTATCACATGCTTTTTGTGCATTCATTGAAATGACCTTGTATTTTCCTAAGTCTATTATTTTAAATTATTTATTTATTTATTTGGTGTTTTGAGACAGAGTCTCACTATGTAGCTCAGGCTGTCCTTGAACTCGAGGCAATCCTCCTGCTTCAACCTCCCAAGTGCTGGGATTACAGGTGTGCACCACCATGCCTGGGTTATTCTGTTATTATGAGTTTACTTTGATTGATTTTTGTAGGTTTAATCACCTTCCCTTTCTAGAGTAAATTTACTGGGTCATGTTGTTTAAGCCTCTCGGTGTGCTGAACCTATATGCTGCTGGGTTGGGACTGCTAGTATTTTGTTGAAGTTTTTACACTGATTGATTGATTGATTATGCTCCAGGGCTTCTCTGATGCTAGTATTTTAAGAATGTATTGTTGCCTGGGATTTAGCTCAGTGGTTCCACCGCCTGCCTCACAAGCTCGAGGTCCCAAGTTCAATCCCTGGTACCCGCCCCCCACCCAAAAGAATGTATTGTTTAATTTCTTCATATTTGTGAATTTTCCAGTTTTTCTTCTATTAGTGATTTCTTGTTTCATTCCATTGTTATCA